TTTATCATCCTTGTTCATTGTTTGTCTTATACTTCTCTGTATTTTTGCTTTGAACTCAGCATTTTATATGATATCATTTTTCTCCACTTCTTAGTATACAAGTTATGCTTCTTTTTTTTCAACTAAAGAAATTATTTACTTTTTCCCTAGGTACATAGATGACAAAGTTATAAACAAGTTTTGATACATAGGAAAACCCTTCTGTCCAACTCTTTTTGCCAAATGAATCATCATAATACTTTTTATAATTTTTAAAATACTACACAGCTTTCTTGGGCTGAAGTGATCACAAGAACATATTGATACTGGTATATTCTAGCTACTTATTTTTGAACTGTGGTCCTGGAAAAGACTCTTGAGAGTCCCTTGGACAGCAAGGAGATTCAACCAGTCAATCCTAAAGGAAATCTGTCCTGAATATTCATTGGAAGGACTGATGCTGTAGCTGAAATTCCAATACTTTGACCACATGATGCAAAGAGCTGACTCATTTGAAAAGACCCTGATGCTGGGAAAGATTGAAGGCAGGAGGAGAAGGGGAGGACAGAGGATGACATGGTTGGATGGCATCACCGACTCAGCGGACATGAGTCTGAGTAAACTCCGGGAGTTGGTGATGGACAGGGAGGCCTGGCGTGCTGCAGTCCATGGGGTCACATAGAGTCAGACACACTGAGCGACTGAAATGAACTGAACTGAACATTGCTTAAAAACAGCAATGGAGAAAAGTGTTATTTAAATATCAATTTCATATACAGAAAGTGCAATGTTTTTAACTCCCTTGACAGTTTCTTGTTTCTCTATCAATTTAAAATTGAGATAGCATAGACTCAGACAGCCATGCTTCTTTGTAACATTTTAGTGGTTGCCCTAGAGTTTGCAGCACATTTACAGTTAATGCAACTCCACTTATAAATAAAACTACAGCATTTTAAGTGGAGTGTTATATCTTAAAATAATAAAATGATCCTAATTATTAATACCTTCCTATGTCTTGTATCATTGCTGTCCTCTGTTCCACTTTTTATAAGCATATGTGTGTCTATATAATGAACACAGAAATAATATAATATATAAACATATATAATCTATTACATTGTTAATATTCTACTTTGAACCAACTTCTATTAATTAAGAATAAGAAAAATGAAAAGGCTTTAGTTTTTAGTTTACCTTCCTTTATTCTTTCTTCAATGCTCTTGCTTCATGTAGATCCACGTTTATAACCTATATCATTTTCCTTCTTATAGAACTTTTTAATGTTTCTTACAAGGCAGGTCTAATAGCAACAAATTTCTTCAATTTTTGTTTGTCTGAGATGGCCTTTATTTCTCCTTCACTTTTGAAGGATGGTTTCACAGAGGATGGAGTTTTAGGTGGACAGGGGGTTTTATTGCTCAATTCTTTAATTGTCAATATAATAGTTCACCTTCACTCTCTTCTTGCTTCTGTAGTCTCTGAAGAGAAGTTGGATAGAATTTTATTTTTGTTCCTCTGTAGGTAAGAAGCCATTCCTCTTGTTTTCTTTCAAGATTTTTTCTTTATCTTTGATTTTCTCTATTTTGAAAACGATATGCCTCAGTGTAGTGTTTTGGTAATTGGCCTGCAAGGTGTACCCTGATCTTCAGGGATCTGTGGTTTGGAGTCTGATATTCATTTGGGGAAATTCTCTATCATTGCTTTTTCAGATATTATCAGGTATTAATTCTCTCTCTCCTGTTCGCATTGTATGTGCACATGTGCACTGTCAGTTGCTCAGTCGTGTCTGAGTCTTTGCGACCTCATGGGCTGTAGTCTCCAGGCAAGAATACTGGAGTGGGTTGTCATTTCCTCCTCCAAGGAATCTTGCTGGCCCAGGGATCAAACCTGCGTCTCCCATGTCTCCTGCATGAGTAAGCGTGTTCTTTACCACTGAGCCACCTGGGAAGCCCTCCCATTAGGTATATGTTACACCTTTTGTAGTAATCCCACAGTATTTGAATATTCTATTCCTCAAGTTTTTGTTCTGTTTGCTCTTTGGATTTTGATGTTTCTATTGCTAAATCCTCTGGCTCAAAGGATCTTTCCTCAGCTGTACTCAGTCTACAAGGAATCCATCAAAAGCTTTCATCATTTCTATTAAGATTTTTTTTTTTAATCACTAGCGGCATGTTTTGCTCTTTCATAGAATTCCTAGCTCTCTGTTTATATGGCCCATCTGTTCTTGCATGCTGTCTACTTTATCCATTAGATCCTTAGCATATTAATCGTAGTTGTTTTCAACTGCTGGCCTGTTGGGGTCTAGCCCCAGCAGGATCTAGGGGAACCCTCAGGATGAATGGCATCGGCAAATGAGAGAGAAAGAGACAGAGACAGAGAGAGAGAGAGAGAGAGAGAGAGAGAGACCAGACCGGGATGGGCAGCAGAGTCTGGCAGTTGCTTTATTTTTGACCGTAGCCTTTATACCCTAAGTTGGTACATTTCTAAGGGGGAAATAAGCACACAGACTTAGTTTAACATTATATCAGCTTGTCCTTCATGAAACCAGGTGTTCTCTGTATATTTTTGTTTATGAGAGTCTTTTCCCATAGATTTTTTATATATTATCTTTTGGCCTTGAGGTTAGCAGAAAACAAAAGTGGCAGTCTCATGGTACAGCTGGTTGCAACATAATATAAATACAATCCTGTTAACACAAAAGTCAGTCTTTTTGCAGAAATTCTCAGCTAAATTTATCTAAAAAGTTTAGCACACAAAGACTCTGCGGCTCTGGTGAGGGAGCCCCTGTTTAGCATTCCTGGTTAAAATTAACAGTTATCTTATTGTTCTTACACTAGGGCTAAACCCTTATTTTTCTGGATCTTTAACTATATTAACAATAGTTTCCACTGCACAACCTTAGCACATTAACATCAATCAAACGTTGATCCAATAACCACCTTTAAAACAATATTTTTTGTGTCCTCTAATAGGGCTTCCTCACCCCTCAAAGGGCTCTGTGCCTATTAGGGCCTTTTTTATGGTTAATTTCTATGTATAATATCTTTTGGCTTTCAGGCCTGTTGACAATTTATGGCTTGTACCTGGTGTAACTTTAAGCAACTTCAGTAGCCAACCATGTCTTTTTTGTGGTTGATCTTCTTTTTTAATTAGGTGTCATCTCTATGGGAACTAGATAAGATTACATTATTATGAAACAGAAATGCGAAGGACTGCAAAAACAGAAGATATGGCACAAAACAGGCTCTTAGTCTAAAAGTTAACTACCTGTAAGAAGTCGCCAGCTAATCTCTATCTAAAGTGTTTTCTATTAGGCACATTTGTGACTATTATTTGTGGAGCTTTTCTCACCCNCCCTGGACAACTGGTTGCCGGCATTTCTGCTCATGAATTCTTGCTCTGGTAAGCCTGGGCTCCTGTTTCCCCCATCTGTCTCGCCTGTCCTATGTCTGCTCCTCTCTTCTGCATCCATGAAGGGTTGTTGAGTCTGTTCAGCTTTTCATCTGCTGTTAGGACAGAAAGGAACTTTCCAAGCTCCTTCCAGGCTGAACCAAAAAACAGAAGCTTTAGATTTAAATGAAATAAACCTAGAAAAGATTTACAACACAGATTCTTAAAAAAGCTTGAGCAAGCATATGTAAATTGCTCTTAAATGCAGATTGTCTTGTAAAATCTCTGAAAATCTGTTTCAAAATGTAAGAAATACAAATGATAAATGTATGTAAATTAATTTTGTTATTACTCAAGAGAAGGGAAATTAAAGTTTGAATAATCTGTATTTTTACCAGCAAATTTCAAAATATTCTATAATGCTTCTGGGGATGTTAGAAAACTATCTACTAACTCTAAAGATATTCTGGCAACTTTATTTTCAGGGATTATCCCCCCTCTTCCAAGTATACAAACCTAGGAATCTTAAGCAAGCAAATACATTTATTAAGATTGTTTACAAGATAGAAAGTTAAAAATAACCTAGAAATATATTTTGATCAAATACTATAAATTGGAAGGTCATGGAATAATATCAACCATCAGAAGTAAATGAAGTAATGCCTTTTTTATTCAATTATGTTTGGTAAAGTCAAATTATAAGCGGTATGTATATTATCAGTATATATATCTGCATAGAAATGTTTAAGCTCTTAGCTGTGGTTTTTGCTGAGAGGTGAGACTTTATTTTTACTTCTGTGTTGCTTACTTTTTATTATGAGTATGTTTCATTTCTCTAAATGAAATAAAATAATCATCTGATAAAATCTTGCTGCTGGAGCGTTCTCTGGAGCATAATAACAAGAGAGACTAAAGAAACACATTCACATCACTGAGTCGCATCCACCTCTTTGCGACCCCATGGACTGCGCATCACTCCAGGCTTCCATGTCCTCCTCTGTCTCCCAGAGTTTGCTCAAATTCATATCCATTGAGTCAGTGACGCCATCCAACCATCTCATCCTCTGCCACCTCCTTCTCCTCCTGCCTTTCCCAGGAGGAGATGCCTTTCCCATCTCCTCCAATCTTTCCCAGCATCAGTGTCTTTCTAATGAGTCATCTCTTCCCATCAGGTGGCCAAAGTATTGGCGCTTCAACTTCAGCGTCAGTCCTTCCAATGAATATTCAGGGTTCTTTCCTGTAGGATTAACTGTTTTGATCTCTGATTAAACATGGTCCACTGGAATAGGGAATGTCAAACCACTGCAGTATTCTTACCTCGAGAAACTCAATTCTGATCCTTTCTTCAAATTGTGACTTTTTGCCTTTTTGGCATGCCCTGTGGTTTTTTGTTTGTTTGTTTGTTTTGTTTGTTTTTTCCCTTGGACATGATGTACTTGGTAAAAGAAACTGCTGTAAACAGGCCTTTCATGATGTGATGTAGAGGTGTGTGGGAGGGCATTCAGGATTTCCCTCCCCACTTTGGTTGGGCAGGATGGTTACCATGGGCTCAAGTCAGGAAATCCCTTCTCTTAGGTCTGTTAAGCTCAACAGGATACACCTGAGCAGGTGGGCTCTGGTTAACTAGGTTCCCCAAAGGGCAGGCCTTGTTGATGGGAAGAACAAGGCGTATTTTAAAATTTCTATCCTCCTCCTGCCAAGAACACAAGAGAATTTTTCTCTGGTATCTACTCTGGGAGCTTTGTTGAGCTTCTGGAGATAAACATCACAATAAAATTGGAGCCTCTTTATGACTGAATCCTTGGAGACCTTTTACCTCTCAGACTTGCCTGCTCTGAGCCTCCAGCAGTTTGTCAGTTACAGTTCAGAGTTCATACCCTGGACAACTGGTTGCCGGCATTTCTGCTCATGAATTCTTGCTCTGGTAAGCCTGGGCTCCTGTTTCCCCCATCTGTCTCGCCTGTCCTATGTCTGCTCCTCTCTTCTGCATCCATGAAGGGTTGTTGAGTCTGTTCAGCTTTTCATCTGCTGTTAGGACAGAAAGGAACTTTCCAAGCTCCTTCCAGGCTGAACCAAAAAACAGAAGCTTTAGATTTAAATGAAATAAACCTAGAAAAGATTTACAACACAGATTCTTAAAAAAGCTTGAGCAAGCATATGTAAATTGCTCTTAAATGCAGATTGTCTTGTAAAATCTCTGAAAATCTGTTTCAAAATGTAAGAAATACAAATGATAAATGTATGTAAATTAATTTTGTTATTACTCAAGAGAAGGGAAATTAAAGTTTGAATAATCTGTATTTTTACCAGCAAATTTCAAAATATTCTATAATGCTTCTGGGGATGTTAGAAAACTATCTACTAACTCTAAAGATATTCTGGCAACTTTATTTTCAGGGATTATCCCCCCTCTTCCAAGTATACAAACCTAGGAATCTTAAGCAAGCAAATACATTTATTAAGATTGTTTACAAGATAGAAAGTTAAAAATAACCTAGAAATATATTTTGATCAAATACTATAAATTGGAAGGTCATGGAATAATATCAACCATCAGAAGTAAATGAAGTAATGCCTTTTTTATTCAATTATGTTTGATAAAGTCAAATTATAAGGCAGTATGTATATTATCAGTATACATATGTCTGCATAGAAATGTTTAAGCTCTTAGCTGTGGTTTTTGCTGAGAGGTGAGACTGTACTTTTTACTTCTGTGTTGCTTACTTTTTATTATGAGTATGTTTCATTTCCCTAAATGAAATAAAATAATCATCTGATAAAATCTTGCTGCTGGAGCGTTCTCTGGAGCATAATAACAAGAGAGACTAAAGAAACACATTCACATCCTGTTAGCTGTTCTAGAAGTGGAAGTGGTTTTTATGCAGACACTAACCCCTTTTCCTTTTCTGCTGATAGGGAAAGGGGAACATGGAAAACCTTACCCCCTCACTGAGGAGGACCATGATGACTCAGCTTACAGGGAAAATGGTTTCAATATTTTCGTCAGCAACAACATCGCTCTAGAGAGGTCCCTGCCAGATATCCGGCACGCCAAGTGAGTGTCCACTTGCCTGTGTGCAGGCTGCTTCCCTTGTCTCTTTTGGTTCATTATGTTTCATGTATATAACGGTGAGTTATACAATTAAAAACTTTACCCTATTAATTTTTATAGAAGCTATTTGTATTCCATTATTTTATATATACTTTTGGGTCTGGGGGGTTTTATTGAGGTATAGGGGCTTCCCTGATGGCTCAGAGGTTAAAGTATCTACCTGCAACGTGGGAGATCTGGGTTCGATCCCTGGGTCAGGAAGATCCCCTGGAGAAGGAAATGGCAACCCACTCCAGTAATCTTGCCTGGAGAATCCCATGGACAGAGGAGCCTGGCGGGCTATGGTCCATGGGGTTGCAAAGAGTCAGACATGACTGAGCAACTTCAGTTTCAGTTTTTCAGTTTTCATTGAGGTATATAGATAACTTACAATGTTGTGTTAGCTTCAGATGTATAGGTATATATGTATATATGACTGAATTACTTTGCTGTGATGTCATCAACTCAGTGGAATTGAGTCTGAGCAAACTCCAGGAGACAGTGAAAGACAGGGAAACCTAATGTGCTGCAGTCCATGGGGGTCCAAAGAGTCAGACATGACTCAGTGACTGAACAACAAATGGTCTATATATACACACATAGCTTCAGATGTTTAACATATATGTATATGATGAATTGCTTTGCTATACATCTATAAATATGCATCTATCTATCTGTATACTATTTTTCAGATTCTTTTTCTTAATGAAACTTATAGTTACCAAAGGGGAAAGGGTGTGGAGGGGTAAATTAGGAATTGGTGCTATATACATTACTATATATAAAACAGCCAGCCAATATAATCTTAAGGTATTATTTATTTAACCTGAAATAACCTCTAAAATTCCAAAAGATTAACTCTTGATGCTCAGAAGCTTAATGCCCATTTTCCTTATTGTGTTGGTGGTATGATCTCCATTTAAATTGAAACACTTCCAGATGACATCTGTACCTTTGCCTTTGCACATTTTTCTTAGTGACTAGTGCTCTTAGGACAGTCTGCCTGTGCACGCCGTGGACTGACTGCATCCTAATGTCAGCCGTTATCAGCGCAATTACTGTTACATTTTCTATAGCAAATGCCTGGAGTGAACACATCCATCATCTCAAGGGAATGGTTGGTTACTCCCATCACTTAGGAATTGCTTGTGGCTTGTCAGCTGACAGTGCATTCAGCTTTTACTGAAATGAAGCTAAACATTAGAGTCTGAATGGAAACAAGAAGACTATTACCTACAGTTGGAGGAAAGCCTTCTCTCTGGCCACCCTTGGCTAATCCTGGCCTTGCTTAGTGTACCCTTTTTCTAATCTGATACAATCTTCTTTTTAGCATATGCAATGCCCAAAGTATGCCAAGAACATGAATGTGATCAGAATTTGCAGCGGTGGTGCTGTCCTGCATACTTGATAAATCTATCCAACTAACATAATACATTGACCTCAGCATTTCATCCTCCTTTAGAAACACTGGTGTGAAAGAAGGAAAATCAGAGAAGATTAAGGGCATACTTAGGACTGGGACTCTATGTTAAACCAGTAGCATACCTTAAATAAACCTTTGTGCAAAAGCAGTTAGCCCTTTAGGAACAAAAAAATCAGTGAATTCTGATTTGGCCAACTGTTTGTTAGTTGCTTTGCTATATTGTGTCTCTATAGATTTTATTTTAAAATATAAAGACAACAGTTTTCTCCTTCAGTTTTATGTGAATTTGCATTTTCTAATATGGTTAACCAAAGGATTCATGTGAAGAAAAAATTAATTTTCCCCTAAACTGAATGCTTTATGTATTATCTAGGCCTTCTATCTAGCAAAATTATTCCCTTGTCACCTGAAATTATCTACGGTAATTTCTACTGACCAAGAATGTTTCCGCTTATGAGAAATTTTAATACCTAATTGCACACCATCAAAGAGGCATTAAATTGCATTGTTGGCATAATATCCTCAGAGCATAATTTCTATCCACCTCCTCCCCCGCCCCCACACTTCCAGTCTTTTTATGTTTATGCAAGTGGAAAAATTTGCAGATGGAAATAGTGTAGAAAATCATTGAAGTCAAAAGAAGGTTGATATTCTCATTCTTTGCATAGAGTATATTTTTAGGGTAACTACTACCTTTTGAGATGAGACATTCCTAGGCAACAATGGAAAAGAAAATGGAAGAATGGAAAGCAAGACATTTTGAAAATTTTATCAGAACTACTAAGTTTACAGTATTGGAGGGTATTTTTTAAATGTTAGGGATGAAGAATGTAGCTAAAACATGGTGTGTGAAATGGTATTCTTATTTCCTGAGGCTTGAATGTCTAATAGGACAGTGATCTAGTAAAATAATAACAAAAAGGGAAAACAAATAATCTTAACAGAAGATTGGAGAAGAATGCCAGGCAAACGTTAAGAGTGAGATCCCAGGAGTGGTCATTTCCTTGGTCAGTCCCGTGTCTGACTCTCACCAAGGTAGGAAGGTAGGTGAGACGGTGCCTCTGGTTTTTGTCAAGGTACCACCTGCTGGAAACTGGAAACCAAATAAAGTCTTAACGGGATCCCACTGTTTAAAGTCCTACGCTTTTGACCTTGGCTATGCTTCTCAAAATACAGGAACAGAAAATAAGAGCATGCAACGCAACTCTATCCTTGAAAATGTCAAAGCAGCTGGACACAGACTCCAGTGTTTTCAATTTAATGTAGCTATAGGTAATGGACCATAGCTTGTTTGTATGGACAGAATCTATGGAAGAGAATGCAGAATCTGTATAGCTTTTCTAGTCAAATGTAACAAGTCTAAGAAACTTTGCATTTACAGTCAACCAATTCCAACTACTGGCTGAGTTTATCCAATTACTCAGAGTTTATTTTTTGTGTGTTTTAGGATTTTGCAATGCAAAATATCAGGGAATACTGTCTTGCAATTTTGTTGGACTAGATCTTCATTCCAAAACACATCATTGTGGTTCTCGATCCACTGTTCTACAATATAGATCACTTTCTGTGTATATACTGGTGCTCTATTCCTGCTCATGTTCTCAAAATTTTCATGATTCTAGGTGTTGTCACATGCATAGTGCACAAATCTAGTCTACTGTGGAGAATATTTAGAACATGAATTATAACAGAAATCCCAATCCAGACAGCACTTTTATTTGTCCTGTTATTTACTTCTTCACAAGCATAAAACTGAATATCTTCTTTGGCATCATTGTTTCATTGAGCCAGTAATCAGTTTAGTTCAGTCATTCAGTCATGTCTGACTCTTTGCGACCCCATGGACTGCAGTACGCCAGGCTTCCCTGTCCATCATCAACTCCTAGAACTTGCTCAAACTCATGTCCATCAAGTCAGTGATGCCATCCAACCATCTCATCCTCTGCCATCCCCTTCTCCTCCCACCTTCAGTCTTTCTCAGTATCAGGGTCTTTTCCAGTGAGTCAGTTCTTTGCATAAAGTGGCCAAAGTATTAGAGCTTCAGTTTCAGTGTCAGTCCTTCTAATGAATATTCAGGACTGATTTCCTTTAGGATTGACTGGTTGGATCTCCTTGCTATCCAAGGGACTCTTGAGAATCTTCTCCCTCACCATAGTTCAAAAGCATCAGTTCTTTGGCACTCAGCTTTCTTTATAGTCCAACTCTCACATCCATACATGACTACTGGAAAAACCATAGCTTTGACTGGACGGACCTTTGTTGGCAAAGTAATGTCTCTTCTTTTTAATACGCTATCTAGGTTTGTTATATCCTTTCTTCCAAGGAGCAAGCATCTTTTAATTTCACAGCTGCAGTCACCATCTGCAGTGAATTTGGAGTCTCAAAAAATAAAGTCTGTCACTGTTTCCATTGTTTCCCCATCTATTTGCCATGAAGTGATGGGACCAGATGCCATGATCTTCATTTTTTTAATATTAAGCCAGCTTTTTCACTCTCCTCTTTCATCTCCATCAAGAGGCTCTTTAGTTCCTCTTTGCTTTCCACCAAAAAGGTCATGTCAACTGCATACCTGAGGTTATTGATATTTCTGCCGTCAATCTTGATTCCAACTTGTGCTTCATCCAGCCTGGCATTTCACATGATGTATTCTGCATATAAGTTAAATAAGCAAGGTGACAATATATAGCCTTGATGTACTCCTTTTCCAATTTAAAACCAGTCTGTTTTCCCCATGTCTGGTTCTAACTGTTGCTTCTTGATCTGTATTTGGGGTCAATCTGAGAGAAACCTGAGTTTGTCCTGTCATTAGAGCATCTTCCCATTGTATCTAATATAATGTCCATAAGAACTTTACTATGAGAGCTTCTACATGACATATGGCAGTCACTGGCTGGCCTGGCTTCATTTTACAGACTTTTGTTTTTCTCCACCTGTATTTACAGACTTTAGTTTTCCTTCATCTGTCTGATATAGCAGTATAATCTGCTATATATTGGAGTATAGCAGATTAACAAATGTTTGACATTTTCAGGTGCATAGTGGAGGGACCCAGCCATATGCGTGTATCCATTCCCCCCAAATGCCTCTCCCATCTAGAATGCCACATAATGCTGAGCAGAGTTCCATGTGATACAGTAGGTCCTTGTTGGTTATCCATTTCAAATATAGCAGTGTGTCCATGTCCATCCCAAATTCCCTAGCTATCCCTTCTCCCTGTCCTTGCCCCCTTGCAACCATATTGCCATCTGTGTTTTGCTTGTGCACTTCCTTTTTATTCAGTAACCCATTGGGATGTCACAACTTTACATGATATAGAACATCTTATTTTGACTCTAACACATACATTTAGAGTACACAGTACATAAAAAATAAGGTAAAAGGCAATCATGGAAGGATGACCTACATAGAAAAGAAACTGATAAACTTATACATGAGTTAATTGTTAGCAAGATACAATTTAAGAATATTTAAGCAAATATTACTCCCTGGATATGAATGCATTAGCAGTTACCACAAGTCTTCCAAACGATGCTAACATTAA